ACAAGCAGGGCCATGCTGGTGTGGGAGCCTGGGCACTGCCAGGCAGAGCAGCAGGGAAGGAGCTGGCTGGTGGAATGAAGCTCACACGCCTCCCTCCTCTTCCCGAGCTGCCTCCTCCTCCTCCTGATGCTGCCCACAGAGACCAAGGCAACCGAGAACTAGCTGCTCCTTCCAGCGCCTCACAGAGCCTCACAGCCCTGCCAGCCTTCCCAGCTCCCTCCCAGTTGTCAGCCCAGCATGTGTGTAACGTGTGTGTGTGTGTGTGTGTGTGTGTGTGTGTGTGTGGTGCGCCCAGCTAACAGCCTGGGAATGCACACACACAGTTGGAATTCATTATTCAGCAGTGCCGGCCCCCAGATAAAGCCCTGGCTGGCTTCAGATGTCTTCTCCCAGCTCCCGGAGCAGAGGTTCCTGACCACCCTTGACAGGGCTGACAGGGCAAGCTCAAAAATAAGGAGCAAGCAGATGGAACAGTGGGTCTGAGCATGGATTGGGGGGGGGGAATCAGAGGCTTCATGATCTGCCTGCCCATGGCACTAGACTGTGGCACTGGCATTTTGGGAATGATCCATGCCACCTTCTGCTCTGTCAAGTTAACCACAAAGGCTGCCAGTGGTTGAAATGCTCAGAAACCTGGAGAGCCAGGCCTGGCTGCTATGACTAGGTCCCCTTACTCTGTGCTATGTAGAAATCTAACCTAGGACCTACCAACTGGAAAAGCAGCCTCTACCAGGCACATCAGGGTGGCGCTTGGTTCTTCAGAAACATGAGCAATAAGAGAGGAGTTGCTTGAACTCAGGGCCTAGGCTGTCTCTGAGCTCTCTACTGCTTTGATCCACAGCACCACTTTCAGTTTTCTGGTGGTTAATTGGAGACCAGAGTTTCATACTTTTCTTCCAGGGCTGGCTTTGAACTGGGATCATCAGATCTCAGCCTCCTGAGTAGCTAGGATTACAGGCAGGAGTCACTAGCACCAAGCCAGAGTAGCAGTATTTAAGGAAAGAGTGTCACTTGCTTCCCTGCAGTTTCATGTCATCTGTCCCCACGGCAAGTGTGGAATCCATTATCCTATTCTGCCATGTCAACTGCCCTCTGACAACACATACCGAAAACATTCATCACCAGATTCCTATATCAGAAAGACACCCAGCACTTGAGTACCTATGGAGTGGTAGATTGTTGGTTGTTAGTTGTAGCATTGCACGTTTAGGAGCTCTGAAGCCAAGTCCATAGGGAAGGCTAAGACCAAGGACCACACAGCAGATCCAACTACTGACTGATCTATTGATCATATACATTTATTTGACTCATTTGTTGGTTGTTAGTTGTAGCATTGCACGTTTAGGAGCTCTGAAGCCAATTCCATAGGGAAGGCTAAGACCAAGGACCACACAGCAGATCCAACTACTGACTGATCTATTGATCATATACATTTATTTGACTCATGGTCCTGAAAGCTGAGAAATCCAAGATGGCAGAAGCCTTATGACCTGAACACTTCCCTCTAGACCACACTTCCTAGCTCTGCTGCGTTGAGGATTGAATTTCCAACACATTTTTGGAAGGAAGAATATGGAAACCACACCTATAAATCTGAAGATGGACCTGGAGAGATTATTCTGGGTTACCTGGATCCTAAATGCCATCCCATTTCTTTTTAGCAGATGATAGAGAGGATGGTTTGACACATACACTGGGGTAGAGGTACTATGAGGCAGAGAGAAGAATGATACAGTCATAGATGAAGAAATAGCAGCAGCCATTAGAAGCTGGGATTTGTCAGAACCCCAGCTTCCTCTCCTGCTGGAGTATGGATGACTCCGCCAACAACTTGATTTTTGCCTCTGTGATACTCATTTCAGACTTCTGGGCTCCAGAACAAAAATAAACCAAGGCAAAGAGAGAGAGACAGACAGACAGAGAGACAGAGAGACAGAGAAGGAGTCTATCTGACTTTCTATGTCCCACCCCCAAGACTGAGTTCCTGAGCGTGTGGGTTCTAATCTCCTATCCTAGGTTCATGGGACCCAAATCTTAGAAGTCTGCAGTTGTAGTTCAAGGGGAAATGGAGGACCAGACTCAGCAGGGCTGGTCACACAAAGGCTGAAGGGGCTTTTTTCTGTTAGGGTGTGCATAAAGACCAGGCACCACCCTAGCCCATCCCAGGATTAGGGGACCTGAGCACTGAAGTGCAGTTGTCCTCAAGGAGACCTGCCCTCCTTCCCTCTAGGATGTGGAGATAGAGGCCCTGAGGGCAGGGATCCCTCCCTCTGGAGCCTGGGCAAGGTCCTCTCATACTTGCTATTCCTTCTTGGGTGAATGTCCCCATCTCACCCCTGCCTCCTTGCCCCGCCTTGGCTTATCAGGGACCCATCCCGGGGGTACTTCTGCCCAGCACAGGAGGGGGGAGGGGTGTGTGTTAGGATCCTCCTCAGTGACTCCTATCTAAGCATGTCCCAAGGCTGCTTCACTGGTGCCTCCCACCTCCTCCACTCCCACTCCAGTGAGAGCCTGACACCTGACATCTATTCACCCCAGAGCCTCACAGTGTATCCTGTGCAAAGGATGCCCAGTCGATAATGACAGGATAAAAGGGTGAGCTCCCAAAACAGAGTGTGAAGGTGTAAAAAAAGAAATACTAGGTAGCTCATGCCTATAATCCTAGCTACTTGGGTGACAGAGATTGAGAGATCACAATTTGAGGCCAGTTTGGGCAAAATTAGTCCATGAGACTCTATCTTGACCAATGTCTGAATGTCATCTCAGGCCAACACAGGCATAAAGTGAGACCCTATCCTGAAATTAACCAAGAGAAAAAGGGTTGGCAGAGTAACTCATGTGGTATAGTCCCTGCTTAACAACTGCAAGGCCCTGAGTTCAATCCCCAGTGCCTCAAAAAGAAAGGCAGAGAGAAAGAAAAGTCAAAGAAAAGAAAAAAAAATCTAGGTATGGTGGTGTAAGGTCCGCTCCTGGATGGCGAGCAGACTCCACCCTCCTTGCAGCAAAGTCTCCACCCAGTACCTGCGTTACCTAGGTAACTGGGACACCTGGAAGAGGTCACATCTGCATCCGCTGAGGTCACATCCGAATTTGATGTGGCCACACCTTTCCCCGCCCATACCCTAGATAAGGCCTAGCCCAGGCCCAGACGTTCTCTGGCTCTTCTTTTCTGCTCTCACTCTCTTGCTTGCTCTTGCTCTTCTTTTCTGCTCTCTTGCTCTTGCTCTTGCTCTTGCTGCTCTTTTCTTGCTCTCTCTGTTCTATTCTAGCTCACTCTCTGTTCTTTTCTTGCTCTCTCTCTTTCCCAGCCACGTGGAGTGCCAGTCTTGCCTGGTCCCAGCAGGTCTACCCCTTACCTGAATACCACGTGAGTGCTACTGTTCTTACCCCTCTCTCTGCTCTTTTCTGGCTCTTTTCTCTCTCTTTCCTCTCTTCCCAGCTCTCTCTCATTCCCAGGCCTTCCCCAGCCACATGGAGTGCCAACCTTGCCTGGTCTCAGCAGGTCTACTGAATAAACCTACCCCTTACCTGAATACCACGTGCGTGCTGGTGCAGTTCTTAATCGGCTACCTCTTTTTTAAAAACCTAACAGGTGGCACACTCCTGTAATCCCAGTACTCAGGAGGCTGAGGCAGGAGGATCACAACCTGGCTATATAGTGAGATCTTGGAAGGAAAGAAAGCAGGGAAGGAAGGAAGGAAGGAAGGAAGGAAGGAAGGAAGGAAGGAAGGAAGGAAGGAAGGAAGGAAGAGAAAGATTTAAAAAGACATTAAACTTTAATAACAAATTTATTCTTTTCAAATTGTACAGGCTGGGAACCTATAAACTGTTTCATGAGCTTTCTTTCCTTCTTTAGGAGGTGTCCTTGCTACTTTGCCCTAGTTTTGTTTTTATTTATATTCGTTTTCCCTTTCCTCCACTGTCAATTTGAATTCACCATATATTATACATACATGTTTATATTTAATTAGAGAAAAATCTTAGAAAATGCAAGTGATTATCTAAAATTTTTAAATACCAAGTAAGCTTAATATCTTAAAAAAAACTAAAGCAAAACTAAATTCACCATTATTTTCCATCCTGGTCAACAAGTATGGTGATCTGTTTATAAGGCTTGACTGTACTCAGAAGGAAAAAAAAGCTCTCTCTTCCCCAGGGCCTTCTGTAGGTTTTTTCTTGCAAGAGAGGAACTTTATGAAGTGTCTGCCTTTTTAGGAAAAAGCCCTCAAGCCTGCCCTGGGCAGCTGTACCGGTTTGCTGCCATGAGATCAGAGAGGCAGGGTCTGGATCCAAATCACACAAAAAAGCCAAGCACCTTGAAGCTGGCCCTACACCTTCTCCCGGTGAGGCTGGGCCCTGTCCTCCACATCACCTGGGGCTGATGTGAGGTCTGAAGAACAGCAGGACTGGAGACAAAATGGAAATCACACACGCAGCCTTTTTTAAGTGATTTGCTTTTCGACTCTTCCTTATAAAACTACTCTGGTGGAGCAGCTTGAAATAAGAGATGAAGCAAATAGGAAAGTCCTGGGGAGAGAGGAGAAGACAATGTGAAAAATGCCCCAACGTGCCCTCCTCCCCATCTATCGGGGCATTCGAAAGCCACCATGCCAACCGAGGCCCAGCTTGGAGTCGTTTCCTAGGCCCAGAACGTCAAGCCTCGCTCCTGGGTGCCTGCGGCCATTCTAGCCCCTGGGTCTGAGCCGTCTGCAAAACTAGGGCCAGGCCGCTCTGTCCTTCCCCACCTGTGGTAATCTTCCCGAGGGGTCATCAAGAGTCCCGCGCTAGGATCCAGTCTAGCCTGTCCCCGCAGAGCACGTGGAGACGGGCGTCCTCTTCAGGACGCGGCCTGTGGTCGGCTCCAGCCTGCGAGGGCATGGCCAGGAGGACCTGGGTCCCAGAACGCGCCAGGTGCGCGCGCACCCGCGTTGCTAGGAGACCCGCGCGTTGTTTACCGTGGGGGCGGAGCCGAGCCGAGCACGAGGGGCTCCCAACCCACCATGGCCTCCCGCAGCGCGGGCACACTGCTGACCGATTTCAATACTGCCTACGTGCCCCCCGCCCTGATACCCGGGTAAGCCGCCGCGCCCCGCCACCCCTGCACCTGTCAGGGCTCCCGACCCCCACCCCCTGGCGCCCTTCCCTTCCGCTTTCCTGGTCCTCCAAACTGGGTTCTCTTTGAATAGTGGCCTTGGGCGTTGTGTGGCAGTGGGTAGGGCTGGTGCTGACCATTCTCCCAGGTAGGAAGTCAGGTCGCTGAGATGGGGGCGCAGCACCGGCCAGGGATAGCCGGGCCTGGCCTGGACGGTGCTGGGCACTGGAGAGGAGATGAAGGTGCACTCATTTGGGCTTTGGTGTTTGGAGACCTCAAACAGCAGCCTAGAGCACATAGAGAGACGAGGAGAGACCCCGAGAAAGGAGCAGGGCAGTGCAGGGGTGACCGGGATTGAGGCGGGATTTATGGGTTGGAAGAGGGAAAGAAAACACTGTGAGCACCAGCTGACAGGATATGGCAGGACAGGATGGGCCAGAGTTGATAGGACTGTGACTGTTTGCTAGACTTTTATGTGTATTTACCCCGGCACGCTGAACAGATTATGTAGCAATTTTGCTTAGTTGTGTGTGTGTGTGTGTCCATGTGCCCCAGTACTGGGGTTTGAACTCAGGGATTGGGTGCTGTCCCTTAGCTTTTTTTTCTAAAGGCTTGATCCTCTATTCTTTGCATCATTGGTTCATTGGCGATTAGAACCTCATGGACTCTAATCGCTTATGCGCCTGCTGGCTTTGAACCATGACCCACAGATCTCAGCCTCCTGAGTGGCTAGGATTACAGGCATGAGTCACCAGTGCCCCCTTGGCTTGTTTTTGAATAGAATAAGCAGGCCATGGAGAGGAGAGGCTGTCATGGTAACAGGCAGAAGTAGCTGCAGCTAGGGCCTTGGCATTCATTTCTGTCCAGCCTATATCTGGGGAGAGGGCCTTCCTCTGAATGATGGGCAGCTCAAAAGTTTCTTCTGTTCTCATCAGGCAAAGTTGATTTACCCAGGTCATGGTAGTTCCCTCTTGGGGAAACTAGTCAGGGGTGTTAGAACACTACCTTAGGACTTGTCTATTCTGTCTTTCACCCCTTGGGCATTCACATGAGAAAATGTGCCAAGTGTTTATAACTGGTAATAAAGACAAAAGTGGGCATTGCCCTCGAGGGGCTCCAATCTGGTGCATGTAAGACTCAGTTCAAATTTGTCTCTGCAGCCTTGGCTAATGTATGTAATCTGCATTCTGGCTGTCACTCATGGTTTGGTTTTATCCATTTAGATTTTTGTTTTCTTTAAAACGCCTGGCCCTTTGGCCATTTGCTATCTATGTAGCAAAGTCTGGGGCTTTTATAATCCTGGAGTCCCATGATTCCCTCTCCCTGGAAGCTGGGGTGTGTGCTGTGGGTTTCAGATGGAATCCCAAGTACCTCTCTATTCATGTCCCTTGTTTGCACCCTGGAGCAGCAGCCCTATCCCATGATTACTTTGGAAATGGTGATTATGAGCCTTCATAAAGAAGGCTTAAGCTTTGCCCTCACATTGCTTGGTTAAGCTGCTGAGGCAGTGTCTGTTGCTTTTGTGTGTGGAATTTTCTGGGTGGGATTTGCTCTCTCTCTTTTTTTGTTGGTCATAGGGCTTGAATTCTGGACCTGGGTGCTGTCCTTCAGCTCTTCAGCTCAAGGCTAGTGCTCTACCACTTGAGCCACAGCACCACTTAGTTTTCTGGTGGTTTATTGAATGAGAGTCTCACAGATTTTCCTGCCCAGGCTGCCTTTGAACCCTGATCCTCAGATCTCAGCCTCCTGAATAGCTAGGATTACAAGCCACCGGCACCTGGCTTGCTCTCTCTATAAAGGCCCCCATTAGGTAGGTATGGTGGCTTAAGCCTGTAATTATAGCTACTTGGAAAGTGGAGATCAGGGATTTGTGGTTCAAAGCCAGATAGGCCAAAAAAAAACCCCAAAACCTGATATCATCTCAACCAATGGCTGGACATAGTGGTACTTGCCTGTCATCATGGGGTATGCCTGTCATCCCTAGAGATTCAGGGAAGACATAAGTAGGAGGATTGTAGCCCAGGACAGCTTGGGCAGAAAGCAAAACCCTCACTTAAAAAATAACCAATGCTAAAAGAGGCAGTGGGCATGGCTCAAATGGTAGAATGCCTGCCTAGGAAGCACAAGGCTTTGAGTTCAGTCTCCAGTACCAAAAATGAACAAGGTCCCCATCAGCAAGGAATGAATTGAGTCATCTGATGTTTTCAGATGCTACCTCAGTGGCAATCTTGTCAACTTAATGCAAAAATCCAGAGTCCCTTCTACCCTTGGATAACAATTATTTTTTCTGTGTCTTTTCAAGCACGAATCACAGATTTTACAGCATTGCAGTCTCTTCTGACACTCCAGTCACTGTTTGGTTCTATCACAGTGCAGTTCTATCCACACAGGCAGAGGACATTCATGTTGGTAGGGACCCCATAGACCTCATAGATCAGCCCCTTCCTGTTCTAGACATGGGCTCTGAGTCACAGAGGATCTTGTCTCAGCCTCATGCTGTTGATGGTAAGCCATGCTGGAACTAGATCTCTGATGCCCGGTGGTAGTACTATAAATCCCTGAGGATATGCCAGGCACGGTGCTGAGCCCTTTACTCCTTAAATAAAAGTCGTCACAATCCAGATGAGAAACAAGCATTTGTAAGCAGCTGGCTATGGCTGTTTAGCAAAGAAGTTGCTGAGCCAAGTCTTTGTGACTTTAATACCTCGGCTCACCTTCATAGCTATCCTGAACCCTCATGTAGCATTTTACCCTGCTTCTGTCACTTAGCACAGCGGGACTAGAGTTGATTGTGAGAGATATACCCTGGAGTCAGCACAGCTAGGTCCAAATCCTGGTTCTACTACTTTCTTACCCTGGGCAACTTGCCATATCCTCTCTATAACTCACTTACCTTATCTGTTAAGTAGGAATAATAACAGTATACAAGTTATAGGAGACTTAAACTAGTTAGCATACAGGCAAGGCATAGTGGTAGTGCATGCCCATAAGCCTAGCTATTCAGGAGGTAGAGGTAGGAGGATCATGTTTGAGGCCAGCCCAGGCAAAGTTAGCACAAGACCAGCCTGTCTGAAAAGCAGACTAAAAACAAGAATAGGAATATGGATTAAGTGGTGGAGCATTTGCCTAGCAAAAGCAGTGCTCTGAGTTTAATGCACATACATACCCATACACAGGGAGGGAGGGAAAGAGAGGGAGGGAAGAAAGGAAGGAAGGAGGGAGGGAGGGGAGGAAAGAAGGAAGGAAAATAGGGAGGCAGGCAGACAAGCTGGCTTCACCTGGATCTATGGTAGAAATGTGCTCCACCCTTACCCCAGAGCTTGAACACTGTCGTAATCTAATTAATGAAAAAACAATCAAAATGGCATCCTTGAACACCCTGAGAGGGAATGTACAGCAGCAGTTATATAGCACAGTGGTCCCTTGTACCCACATTTCACTTTCTCAAGTTTCAGTTACCCAAGGTTCATTGTGGTCTGAAAGTACTGGATGGAAAATTCCAGAAATAAATAATTCACAAGTGTTAAGTAACTTTTAATTCAGCATGTGGTTATAATTGTTCCATTGTGTCAATGGTTATTGTTTATCTCTTATGGTGCCTAATTTATAGATTAACCTTGATCACAGATTTGTACATGGAGGAAGATGATGTAGTATATAGTTCAGTGTGTTTCTGTGCAAGGTTTCAGGTGTCTGCTGGGGGCTGGGATGATCTCACATGTAAGTGGACTGCAACAGCGCTAGCTACAGTAAAAGGACTCAAAATTGATGGGCTTTTAGACTTTGTTTTTTAATATGATTTGTTTCAGTGTAACTTTATATAGCCTAATTTTTAGTTCTCAGTTTCTAAACAACAGGTTTGACATATTCTTGAAAATTGAGTCTTTTTTTCTCTCTCAAGTTGATCTGAGCTAGCTGCCCATAGCATGCCACACTGCCTGCACCTCCCAGCTTCCTCTGGCCTGCGGATTACCTTGCAGGAGAGGAGTGAGCAGGGCAGGGAGGGAAGGCTTACCCGGGGAGGGAGAACTTGCCTGTCACATCTCCCAGGAATCTTCCATTCCAGCCCAGCTGTGACACATGGAGCTCTCCCAAGACGGCCCAGTGTATCCCAGGGTACGGAACATAAGCCCTCACATGTGCCCAGGAAGGCACAGAGATGATGTACACACAGATGTTGGTATCAGACTCTTATCGGGTGCTTCTGGCACTGGTTAGGCTGGATGAGGACACTGGGAGTTTTGAAAGATCCAAGGTGACTCCAGGCTGCCACCAGGAACAAGGACAGCGTACCTGTGGCAAGGGTGGGGCTGTTCTCTAGGCATGTCTCAAAAGAAGCTCCCATGGAGAGGCTTTTCCCCCCTGTGCGGTTCTCCTTGGCAGCCCCCAGCCCCAGGTTGGCAGGTCTGACTGCAACATAGCAGTCAGTAAAGACAACTGGATGGTTGGTGGGGGGGAGGAGACAGGGGTCCAGGAGTGGGTCAGGGAGGCTCTGTGGAAAAGGGAGCACCTGACAGATACCTGGGGTCTGGAAAGGAACCTGGAAGGACAGGTAAGATCACCAATGGACAGCCAGGGAGAAGGGGGGGGCGGGGGAGAGAACCTTCAGAGGCGAGTGTGGCTTGAGCAAAAGCCACCCTTCTTGCAGGACATTTTTTTCAGCAGCAAGCAGCCTTTGTGGCCACAATAGGAAGGCAGACAGTAAGGCTGGAAAGACCTCGTGTGGAGGCCCACATCAGGAGGCCCCAGCAGCTGCCCCAGTTTCTTCTTCATTGTTAGGGAGGAGGCCTCCAGGAGAAGGATCTGATCAGCAGTTTCTGCAGGAAAAGGTGCTGCGGAGAAGAGGCTGCTCATGGGATGAGACATGGAGAATAGTAACAAGCTAATTAGTTAATAAGACTGCTCAGGAGATCTCTGATGCTCATGGTAATTAATTTTAATGTTAGCTATGGGGCCAGCCAGTGCTGTTAAAAGGCAGGCAA